AAAAGAAAACCCTTAAGCCTGAAGCCTGACCTTAAAATGGGAAAATCTCATTAACCATTCTGTTATCCTTGTGTGATTGCCATGGTATCCTTTTTGACAGTTTCACATTTTTAATACGACCATATCATTTTGTTTTCTGCATGTTTTTTCCCCTTTTACTACACACACGTTCCACTTTATTACGAACTATTTTCCAAGGCATCTCAATTTTTCCAGATAATCACCTGACTTTCCGTATATTACGGTGACTGTTAGTCACAGAAAATCTTGATTTAGTTTAGACAACTTTCTGACTCAGATGTTCAGCAGCTATGTGGATGCCTTCAGGTTGTGAATGACAGTTTAAAAATAACTCAGGAACTGTATTACTGAAGGCTTTTATTGTTGCTGTGTAATGAAGACGTAGACAGATTTACATGTGTTTTCACCACAATGTCAGTGCATTAATTTGACTATATGACCAACACAGGCACACACTCTGGTTATCAAATAATAACAAAATACGGAGAGGATAACGTCTAATTTATTACTTTTCCAATGCAAATGTATAACCCATAGGTTTTTATGTTTTTTTTAATTTGTCATCAACTCCAGTACAGTACGAAAATAAGGTACAGTGTTTAGAAATGGTCAACTGTGATATAAAATATATTTTGGGTGTAGCTAATGGAAAAAAACACGTGAACACAGAAAACAAAAGGAAAAAAAAAAAGATATGGTCCTTTAAGCTACTGTCTTAATTTTGTTGTGCTCGCCTACTGTTATTACTGTAAATCCAGACATTCGTTTAAATTACTTTCATTACTGTGCAAACATTTCAAGACAGTGCATACAGGATCACTCTGACAACTCATGATACATAAAATTCAACTCACCGTCTGCAAACATAAGAAAGCAGTAAGAAATGAAAAAGAGCAAAAACAAGCAAAATAGACAAAGGATTCATGACAGCATGACAATTTGCTAGTGCTACTGCTTCGTGAACTAAAACAGCAAATTCTAAATGTAGCACAATTACATTTCTACGTACACACACACTATTTAGCTACTAGTCGTTTTCAACAAACAGAAATGGGGTGATCTACATATGAACATCAAAATGAAAAGCAGACTGTGACGGCTACATAACTGACAACACAATTTTTTTTTTAATTTTTTTTTTTTTAAACACAAATGGACCAGTGTACTTTTTACAAAAACAAAACAAATATAAGCTATCAAGATAGCAAGGTACAAACCAATTTTAGCTGCTTAATTTTTAGTCCATGTGCTTTGAAATCCTAGCACACTTACTGATAAAAACGCAACGGTGGATTTAAGATGGGGGCTTACCTTTAAGGGCAATAACTTTGCTGGCAGGGTTCATGATGGCGCTGTCGGCAGAGATGGGGCGACGGATGGGGTTGTTGGGATCAGCCAAATCAATGATGACAACCTGAGCTTGTTCACCAACCTTCTCTCGTACACAGATGAACTTGTCAGACTCCATTGTAAGCGTGCTAAATCCAATGTTGGCTGGGTTGATCCCCAAGTTCTGGAGCTGGCATATGAAGAGAAGACCTGTTTTAATGGCAGCCATTGGCACACAGTACAATATTGAAGACAAAATTTCCTTTGGCAGGATTTTTCCTTAACCAAAAAGGTTCTGAACTTTCACCGAAGCAATATCACCAATATATGATACTCAATCATAAAATATATTTTTCCAATGTCCAGAAATAACATAAAATTGTACATACCTCTGTTAAAGAAGCTAACACATATTACTATAATTATATAGTAGCTAGCAGGGCTTCCTAACACAAAGGCCCACTCTAAGGCCCAGTTTTACTTGTTTACTTATATCAGCAAATATGATCATATCTACTAATAGCAGTCATCTATGTTTATGCTGGATACATTTCAAAGGCACTTTGATAAAATACTTAACATTTATGACAAAGCGGTTGGTAATATTCTAGAGATTGATATTATGTATGCAGATGATCTTGTGGTCATAGTGTTAGTAGTGCTGATCTCCAGCAGCTCATTCACATATGTTCTGCCAATGCTGTAGAACATAACATTACATGCAATCCCCGTAAGTGACCTGTAATGATTTGCAGAACTGAGGAGGACAAAGATTTCCAGAGTTGAAACTTGATAACAATCTTACTGTCGGTAGTAAGGTCGAATATCTTGCTCATCTTATTACAGATCAAATGACAGGTAATGATAATATCTGTAGGAAATGTTGACTGATGTATTCACAAGTGAACTTCCTCTTATGCAAATGTATGTACAAAGGAAAGGAAAGTGAGTTCACGAAAACCTAATGTAGCTTAAAAAGATGCTATGATGTTATTATTGAAGAGACAGAGACGACTCAAGCAAGGTGTTTATGATTACTTGTTTCAGTACATTGAAAGCTTTATTAAAAATATTGTGAATTAATTTATCTGCAGGCCCAATGCTTCTGAGAATGTGGGCTTAACACACTGATAACATGGAACCGTACGTTATCTGTCTTTATTGTTCAGACACTGGTATAGTTATGGGAAGTTGAATTGAGTGGGTTTGTTTTTATCTCTTTGTGTTTTTTGATATGTTTTGTTTATATGGAATACGTATCTGAGATAAACAAAGACTGAAAATTTTTTTAAAAAAATAAATAAATCACAAATTATGCAACCCAGTGTAACAGACACGTTGGTCTACCGTGTTCATTTCACGCATTGCCCATCCAAAACGTGAAATGGACACGCATGCAGAAATTGCATTACCAGCAGGGGGAGATAATAATATTGTAGTAATGCAACAAGGGCAGTGACCACAGGGCAAATTGTTTGTTTATATATATATTTTGGCCCAGAAATTCATAGCTGGTGCATCTCTAGTACATTCTTCACTGTAAAAAGCAAATGATGTCAAGTATGCTTATTTCAATTGTGCCCTAAGTTAACAAAAAAAGTTTAGCTTGGCAAAAGGGCATCCAAGGGTCACAGTATAAACAAAATCTCCACAGGGGTTCAAGCTTTGATTTATGGTTGGGAACCCTGGGTATATCCAATACAGCCAGAAGCTGGGATGTACCAGATGACTGACTGATATGAATGTGGACAGCAGAGCAAAATCGTATTCTTTTGGCAGACTGAATGGACCACCTGGTTCACTTCAGATAACGCGATGAATGGGTTACATTTCAGTCAGAAAAACCCGAAAGAATAACCCGACTCTCCCTTCAGCAGTAAAAATGGCCTGTCGTGACATAACGTTTCTCTATGACGTGAAGCAGCTCGGAGTCTAGTCAGACTGCAACTGACCACGGTTTCACGGCTCATAACTTAAATGGGCACATGACAATAACATAAAGCATGCTTTAAACAGCTATACTACGCGTTCATGTTATGCAGGTCAGCGACTGGAATGTCTCGGCTCACAAGGTCCAAACGTTAATTTGATATTGAAATAACGCTGAACCGACCAAAACGTGGCCGTGCATCAGTCATACGCTACAACCCAATAAATAGTCACTCAAGGTCAGAAAAGGTGATTGTCGTTAACTAGTTTCGCCTCCTGGCCGCGAGTGACAGCATCAGTACAATGAATGAGGAGCTAGCCTGAGAGGCTAGTTATTAGCTGCTGGCTAAACGGGGGATGGGAGGTCATTCATTTGCTGCGGTTATTGACGTTTAACGCTAGCTGAACTAGCAAGCTGTCAAAACGACCGTTAAGCCGGAAAATGAAGGGATCAAAGAGAATGTAAGGAAACGATATAGCTACTAGATTCGACCACTTTACCTGCAGGTGCTCCTGGAAGCGGATAGGCAGGATTTGAGCCATGGTTGTTTCCTTGAGCTTCTCCGGAGTCCTGAAATTCTGGTCGTACAGCTAGCTAGGCAGCAGCAGCACCGCGCTAGCTACGACCTCCTCACTGAATGTGTAGGTCGGAGCCAGTCGGTGAAAACTATAGCACGGTTTTAAAATAAGCAAGATGCTGTGGGTAATCGTGTTTCCGAAGTGAGATATCAGTGGAAAAATGTTAAATACGTCCCCCCTCCTGTGTATGCTTTCTGCACTGCATCGATGGATAGCAGTGGCTATGGCTGATCTTCTGTCCAAAATCCGCAATGGCGGCGGAAACGGCTCACAGCCTTCCCAGTCCGGAAGCATCTAGGGATCTCTGGAAGGGCACTGGCTCTGGCCCTGAACGTATGGACAAGAAGTTCACCCCAATTTAACTGAGAAATAATATGAAAATCTGTTTCTACTCGATAAAGTTGCATACATTATAATTTTGTATAAAAATCAACTAGTTTTTTGGACATGTACGTCAGTTCCGTAAATAATAACGCTATTTTATCAAATCTGACAGCATATACGTAAAACTTTAACCCTTCACAGACGTTATTAGAATAAAAAAAAATTAATAAAATACACAAACCAGGAAATGTCAAATTAGATAACACTAAAGCCACAAATGCATGTGTCCCTTATGTAGAAAATATTTCAGAAGCTGATTTTTGTTTCACTACTGTCCAAGATCTATGTTCAGATTTTCATTGGGAGTAAGCAGGATTACAAATCATTATATCAGAGACACAGCTCAGGTTGAGCGCTTTGAAGACAGAAATCAGAGATGCAAGGCTGACATGGTTTGGACATTTGGAGAAGTGGGATAGTGGATATACTGGAGAAAGGATATTGGATATCGAGCTTCCGGGCAGGAGGAAAAGAGGAAGACCACAGAGAAGGTTTGTGGATGTAGTGATGGAGGATATACAGACTGATGGGGTAACAGAAGAGGATGCTAGATATAGGGCGAGATGGAGGATGATGATCTGTCATGAGGAACCCTAAAAGGGAGCAGCCAAAAGAAGACTGACAATTACCCAGGCTCTAAGTAAACATTTTTATGCATAAATGGTGTTTGGGATTTTAAATATAGCAAAGTTTGTGCAGCACAGCCCACACTCCATAAAATTCAAATACAATAGAAAGGATGAGTCCAGACAAAGTGATGCGTTTCAAGAAGCAGCTGTATTCGACTATAAAGGCATTTCTAATCCAGTGTCTCTAAGCTGTTTTCTTTATATTTCAGTGTAAAAAGCCTAGACTCTATTAGAAAAAAGAAAGTAAACAAAAACAACAACAAAACAACATTTCATTAGAAAACAAATCATTGGAAAAAAAAAGATAATGAAATTCCCATTCACCAGTCATTTCAATTAAAATAGAAACACCTTTTTCGCTAACATTTCCCTCAAAACAAATATATATTTTTCCATATATATATATTTATATATTTATTCTCAAGGCAGTTGGTCATGGCCAAATTAATTGACCTCATCATGGCCATTTTTCATGTTTCAAAATTAGAAAACGGATCTAGAAGGGAAAAAAAACAACAAAACAAAGAAAGAAATATAACAACAAGCGGAAGCACAGTGGACAGCAGGAGCGCCACACTGGCCAATGAATAAGGTCTCATTTTAAGTGAGAGGGAATAGTCTATCAAGGCGGTGTGGCACACACACACACATCCTCTGGAACAAGTGCAATGCAAAGAGAATAAGTTTCTCACATCATAAAACTACAACACACTCCTCTTTCACAGCACTCTGGTTGAACATTAGCTTCCCTTTGCTTGTCTCCTCTTCCTCTAGTATCTCTGTGCAGCAGGAGTGTGAAGGCTTTCGTTGTGCCGCTTTAGTTCTTAGTCTTTGGCGGGAGCTTAAAGTCCACTTGACTGAGATATGCTGCAGTATTAAAGAAGATGGCTTCACTGTTTTGTTTGATTTTTTTTCCCTCTCCACATCCAGCTGCCATACAGACTAGCAGAAGTCTCAACATTTTCATGGCAACTGAGAAAGGGAGAAAATGATCCCAGCATGCCAGCCTCTTTCTATTACAGTAAAAAATATGACTAATACAGTGTGCCTGAATACTGAAGACTTCTCTACCAGGAAAAATGGTGCATCTGATAGCAGAAGGAGAGGACACAAGCAGCAGGGGTTCTGCAACAAAGAGGGTTAGAGATGGCAAACTTGCAAGAGCAACTCTGGCGGTAGTTAAGTGCTCTGAAATGATTCAGATGAACGGGACACAAAAAGGGCACGACGGGACGGCTGAGCGGGAAGAGATGGTACAGATGGGGACATCACCGCTGCAATAAAAGCAAGTGATGGTCAAAAAGTGCCAAATGGCGACTTGAGGAGGTTCCCTGGGTTACCATTAAGATGAAGTGAATATGCATGTTGTACAGTAAGCACATATGCTCATGTGTTTGTGTAAGAGAGAGAGAAGAGAAAATGTGTAGAAGATAACGAGAAATCCCTGGGCTACATGAGAGGGTGACGTGGAGGAAAGGCCTCAGCGGACCTCGGTCAGCTCCACCCATCGCATCCCTCCGTTACACCTGACGCTCAGCAGAACTATGTGCTTCTCTTCTGAAGCTCCTGAATAAAGGCTGTGAAAGCAAAGAGAAACACACAGTAAGTACACAAAGTAGCTGATACTGGAGCAAAATTAAAGTTTTTTTTTTAAGGTGTAATCTAACCTCCAATAATTTCCTCTTTGACTTTTTGTAGTTCTTTCCGCACTTCCTCCAAGATCTCCTGCAGAAAAATAGAACAAACCGTTAGCCATGGCAATACATTTGTGATTTAGGGAAAAAAAAAATGTTTATTTGCAGTAACCAGGTGACGTGAAATCTCCATATACATACAACATATATTTTTCTGACTTGTGGCAGAACACAATGCATTGGTGTTGACCAGAAAAATGTAGGTTTCTCTAAACCTCTGTCAGGATTAAGACCTTTTCATGCATGAAACCTATAATATTGTTGGCTTTATCAACTGGACTGAATTCTGTCATTTAGGCATGGGTTGTTTTTATGGAAATCTGCAAACACAATGACGATCCACATTACCTGCAGTTTGCTTGCAAGATTTAACAGTACAACAGTGACATAATGCATGAGGTCAGACTGTCTTTTTGCATGGCAGCTTTATTTTGATAGATGCTTTGATAACTAAAGAGGCCACTTCCTATGTGTAGCTATGGGAACAAACATCCCACACATCAGATTAGAAATAACAGGAGCTTGTGAAGTATGATTACATACACCACATCTGTGATAAGATCCGGACTGATCCTGTCCCAAGCTGGGAATGTAATTATTGTCAGTAGTTAATATTATTGCTGTTGTGCCAGCTGCATAAACGCACACCAACCGGTTTGTGACACACTCAACAACACACTCCTGGAAACAGCTGGAAGCTACAAACTAACTTCATCTCCTATAGTCAAATCTATGCCTATCGTGATTACTGGTGAATGTCATTACATTGTCCCGTCACAGACTTTGTATTTTATAATTATTTGGATCTATAACAGAACAATGTGAGGGGTGGAAAGAACAAAATAGGTGTGTTTCAGGTGTTTTAGTCCTATTGGCACATGTGTACAAAATGAAGCACATTAACATACAGTCTGCCTTTAAAAACATTTGTGAAAGAATGAGTCGTTGTGATGTAAAAGGCTGCCACCATTGCAATAAGTGAGTTTGTGAAATGTCTTCTCTTCTAGACATTCCACGTTCAAGTGATATTATTGCAAAGTGGAAGTAACCCACAGCAACTCAGCAGTGAAGTAGCAGACCATGTGAAGCTACAGAGTTACTGAGTTCCAAACCTCTGACTTTAACATCAGCACAGAGAGCTGTGCACTGGGAGCTTCCATGGCTGAGCAGCTCCTGCAATGTGGAAGTGGCTCAGCACTTTTGTCCATTTAGTCTACACAAATCGATTCTGAATTCAGTTTTTCACTAAGAAGGAAGCAGGAGTTTCTGCTGGTTAGACGATGAAACAGAATAAAAGTGGGTTTTTAAACGCCATAAATTTCAGTGTCATTCATCTTTGTTAATCAAAGGCTACCTAAGCTTACTAAGTCAGAGCAAGGTTCAACAGTCTGAGACTGCCATTGTCAAACTGCTGTCAAAAAGTGACCTCAAGCCAGCGTATTCAGATGGAGCCAGATTCATGCAAAACAAAACGAGTATCAGAAGCTTTAGAGAAATCAGCTTTCTCATTTACATAACAAAAATTCAGATCCAAACATTCAAGTGTGGCTGTTTTGGCCAAGAACTGATGACTGCTGGGTCGATGAGCATATTTACCTGTTTCATTTTCTCTAAATCTGAGTCATCGGCTCCACTTGCTTCATTATTATTGCTTGCAGCCTTTGCCCTGTAACAAAACATGAAACAGACATGCGAATATTTCATGTTTATCTTTCCACAAAACAGGTGCAACATATTAATCAAGTGCACTGCCACAGTATAGAGCAAATGAAGGACCAGTGAATGGAAGAATGCAGAAATGAAATGAAGGTTAACCTATGTAAACTCATTAACCTACCTTTCTGAAGCTCAAGGATGCTGACGAGGTACAAATAAATGCCTGATATTAACTGATCTAGCTAGCACAGGTTTCAGAGTAGTGTATGGCTCTGTTAGGACCTTTTACCACAAAAACTACGTGTACGTTCTTGAACTACAACGAGAGACAAACAAAGCCATCAAAGATGTCAGAGAGGACAGTGCCAACCCCAGCTGAGAGAAGTGACTTGAAAATAAGCATGAATCATAGACCCAGGCTCCCATCTTATTAGTCAGTTTTCAGAGATGGCACACTCAGCTGCTACATCTACGGGTAGCTTGGGTGCACGCCATTCTCCCATCCATTAGATGGTGCTATCAACTGTAAAATATGCTACCCCAGCATGAAGATTTGAGAGGGAAGAATAAAGGAAGGGGTGCTAAAGGTCATGAATTAATGGGGCACATGTATACCTGGGAACTTGGGACAATGAGGAAGTGGAGTCCATGCTCTTGGGGATGGAGTTATTCCTGTTAGTGAGACACACACACACACACTCTCGCTCTTAAAATGAAAATGGACGACATTCGCACACACGCACAAAAAACTCACTTTTGTGCAAAGACGCAGGCGTGGACACAAAAATGTGCGCACACTGGTGAACGGGGTGAACCGACACATGGGACACCTGGAGGTGACAGATTTACTGCAGGGAAATAACTGCGCCTTGGCTCACCTGATCATAGAAGGTTTCTCCCAAGGTCTTCTGACGGCGTCTGAAAAAGAAAATGTATGAAAACACGAGTTGTTAATCTTCACTCATCTCAGTATATCAGAATGAACGTAGGTGGCATGCTACAGACAAAACTGTTCAGTTCTCACCACTTTGACTTGGAGACTCTGACTCATCCTGTAGAGAGGAGGGAAAAAAAACATGGAGACTTCTCTTAACAGTGAGTCATCCTCAGCCTTGAGTGGTTGGTTACATGTAAAAAACACTACATTTGTCATTTGTCTGTTACATAAAGGGAACCGATTATGCTTATCTTTACTTTCTGGCATGTCTATATTGTTATGTTACGACGATACTGGTGTCAAATGATGACATCATATCTGTAAGTGTGAGTCGAAAACTCAGGCTTCAACCGTTTATTCTACTCTTGGCAATGTTTAATAACCTGCCAACGTGAGCACAGAAACCCCACCCACCTGCTGTTTAAATGTTTTATATAAGAGGGGCAACCAATCAGGACAAAGCTGGCTTACAGGGGAGAGTGTGGATATCAGTAGCTAGTAGTAACGACTTGTTTTATATATTGAATGAACTATGGGGCTGGGTCGAGGCTCACTGTAAGATAAATAAGGGTTCTCCAAAAAGTTGATTCTGTTCATCTGGACGTAGCGTTTTGTGGGAGAAACGTTTCGTCACTCATCCAAGTGACTTCTTCAGTCTCAGCTGACTGCAGGTTTCCCCAAATCTTATAAACAGTACATTTGCATGATGACTGAAACCAGCCCACTGAAGGAACAATGGGCTGTGAGGTCAGTTCCTTAATCATAATTATGCAAATTCTCATGACCATTGATCAACAACCACTGACCAAAACCCACTGATCAAAGACCACTGATCAATGGCCATGAGTACCATTCACAGAGAGTTGGGGAATTGCTGCAGTCACAGCATTGTAAGATGGCGAAAGATGTACCCTTAGGCCCCCTCCTCGATTCAGAGATGGTCTTTCCCTTTTCACGTAAATGGCCTCCTTGGCTCAAAAGAGCGTTCCTCCCTGTCCAGGATGTGTACTTCCTCATCCTTGAAAGAGTGTCCACTGGCCTGTAGGTGTAAATAGACTGCAGAGTCCTGGCCTGATGAGGTAGCTCTTCTGTGTTGTGCCATCCGCTT